GTAGGTTTCTGATCTTTAAAAAAAAAAAAAAAAGACTGGAACATAAGTGCTTTCTCTCTTGTGACCTGATCTCTGGACTGACTGGGAAAGAAGAAACAGAGGACGGAGACCTGCCTGGTGGGGGCAGCTGCTCTAAGGAATAACACAGCTGCCAACACCTGTCCTTTCCTCTCTTTCCCCTGCCCAGACTTAGCCACCAACCATCCACGTGAGGCGTGGGTCACTCCAGAGCCCTGCAGTACTCATATTCCCTCTCTGCAGGCCAGGACACTGCCTCTGGGAAGAGCCACTTGTTTGGGGACCTTTGCTATCATTCTGCCACCTCCCTGGCCCATGGAACTAGGAGAGATTGGAGCTGTTCAGGGTTTTGAAGCTCCAGCAACCCTGCCTGTGCCCCTGGACAGTGGGAGAGGCAAGGAAGTCAGGAACACTCTCTCCCTGTGCTGGAGTTGGTTATGAGATGGATTCGTCCCTTCCCAGACATGTTTATTCCTGTGGGCTAGGGAGAAGCAGAGGCTAGGGGCCTTGGACACAGGGGTTTGGAGTCTCCTAACTCTCTTAACTTTACCCTAGTCTTTGTGGTCAGCCCCGTTCCCAGCACATGGACTCATAAAGATCAGTTAGAGGTGGTGGCAGACACAACAGAGAACTGGGTGTGGGTGGTGAAGGAAGCTTGGCAGCTGGGAAGAGCGGATTGAGAAGCTTCTGGAGGCCCAGGTAGCTCTCCTGGCTCTTTCTGGCTACTCTTCCACAGCCTGGCTTCCCTCTGCCTTTGGCTCCTCTGGTTGCCCATGGCCTCCTTGGACCTGGTCCTCACCTCCTTGGTCAACAGTTGTCTCAGATTCCCCCTCACTGTTGAGGCCTCCTTTCTTCTCTTCCCATGCTCCTGCCTCTGGCCTCCCACTGGTTGCCTTTGCCTTCTCTGTTGTAGCCCCCTGGGCCTCAGGCCTCTCTGCCCGGCGGTAGACAAGGTAGCCAGTTGCAGGAAGTCTATGGGCCAGGGCTTCAGGGGGCAGGCGATGGTAGCCCTGGTCCTTGTAGAGGAAGAGGCCAAATGCATCAGGGTGAGTCACTCGGAACTTGGTGGCACAGAGTTGGCTCAGGGTGGCAATCGAAGACCCTGGGGGCACAGCCAGGGTCTTGGAGGTACAACCTGTACTGGGGTCCTGGTAGGCTACTCGGAGGAGGTGCTGTGCAGAAGACAAGAATAAGTCCTCAGCTATGCTATTCAAGAATAGTCCTCAGCTATTCTCCAGGGCAGAAGGGACAAGGTGGGGTGGTGCACACTCATGTAAAATGACTGACAGGAGCCCTGTGAGCTCCAAGAGGACACTGGGGCAGAGAGAAATGTATTTGAGCTAGTGGTATAGGTGCAAGGCCAGCCCAGAGGGAGCTTCAGAATCCTGAAAAGATGCCCAAGAGGAGTCCACTGTGTACAGGGCTCTCTGCTTAACTCTTCCTGGGCTAATTACCTAGAACTACCTCCAGCGTTCACCAGTGCACCTAATCTTCATGCAGCCCAGGTGCCCATTTTAGAGACGAGGAAACCAAGGCACAGGAAAAATGTGACAGAGCTGGGACAAATCTGGGGCCTGGCTACAAAGTCTAGATTCATAGCAAGACTGAGAAGGTTGAAGTTAAATGGGGTGCATCCTGGCCAAGCATAAACTGAAGTTCGAGGACAAGGAAGGTAGAGCCTTGGCTGGTTCTAGGGAACAAGAAGTTGTTGCTCTCCGTATCAGTTTCTACCTACTCATCTGTAAAATAGGGAAAATAATGGCCCTACTTCAGAGTTTCTGTGAAGATTCAAGGAGGCGGCCCAGGAGCTCACAACCTGTCCCATGGAACCCATTCCTACAGGGGCTGCTCTGATACTCAGCTGGGTCTCTATTTCTATTGTAACTTGATGCAGGGCTCAAGATACTGTGCTGGGTGATGTAAGAGGCCAGCCTGGGGCTAAGCAAGGCCAGCCTGGGGCTGACTTGTGGAAGGGCCCTTTACCTGGAAGCTATGGGTGGCCGGCAGGCGGCGCTGTTCCCAGAGGGCCAAAGAGCGCTGGAGCTCCTGGGCCGGGCTGAGTGGGAGAGCGTGGGCCTGGTTCAGGCCACTCAGCAAGGCCAGGCTGGCCGAGAGGCTGGTCAGGTAGTAGCCACCTAGGACACAGGGTACATAGGATGCAGCTCAGGCTGAGATAGGGCGTCCTGCCTTCCCTTCCATGCTCACTCAGGACCTACAAGCAGCCCTGTTTCCACCCAGACGGGAAGTGAGGGAACGTTCCCCTTACCCTCTCCGGTGAGCAGGGTAGGCTCCAGGAGCTCCGACATGTACTCAGCTTCTAACAGGAGGTCAGGAAGGTCGCACTGGGCCAAGACAAGGCTCAGCAGAGGCAGGAACTCATCAGCGCCTGCATCCTCTCCTGTGGAGATGAAGAAGGAGGGGGTTCAAGCCTCCTTAAAGACCCAAGAGCTAGGGTTCAATCCCCCTCCTAGACAGCGACCCTTCCTCTCCCTCTGCTAGACCCCTAGATAGGACCACAGACTCTACTCTCTAGAGCTCCTGAGACGGGAGAGTTGGACCCCTATGCCCTGTTTGCAGTTCTGGGATCCTGGGACCTTCTCCCTGAGAGAGGGGGCTCAGTCTCTTCTCGGAAAGAGCTGAGCTGGGGGAGGTGGTGAGGGCCATACCCGCCTGGGTTTTCAGGGCCGTGTAGAGCAACTTGCAGGCCTGCAGGAGCCGCTTGATCTGGGCACTAGGTGAATAGGTGCCGAGCAGCTGAAGCAGTTTCTGGCGCACCTGTTCTGTCTCCACTGGGGAGGAGAGGTGTAGGTGGGACCCGAAGGCTCCAAGTCCCTGGGTTCGGGCCAGCTGGAAGCCCTCAGCTAGGCGGCCAAGGGAACCATCTGTGGAAAGCCAGCGCCGCAGGCGGGCAGCGAGGATGGGTCGAAGAGGCTTGAGAACAGAGCGGTGCAGGGACTTCTCCAGGACCAGTTCTGGCAGAGGAGAGTAGACATGGTCAGGGGAAAGGGGCCTGGAAGAGCAGGAGGTAGGGAGAGAGGTGGGGGATGGAATTCACTGTAGCAGTTGCGAGAAAGTCGCGAGAAAGGATGGAGAGCCAGGGATTGAACCTGTGGAGGCTGGGGCTGGGGGACCTTACCCAGCCTCTCCGGTGGTAGCAGCTTCTCAGGACCCAGTTCTGCACTCAGCATGGCCCGGGCCCGGCTTAGGGCCTGGCGGATGCCCTGCAATTCCCGAGGCTCAGGACCAGCCCGAACCTGAGTCAGTAGGTCTTGCACCAGTTGACCCACAGCTGTGTATCGGTTTTGCATTAACATTGTGGCCGCCCGGCCCACCTGCCTCTCCGGTGCCAGCAGAGAGCAGAAAGCAGAACTCATGGACCGAAGCAGAGGCCGCCGCTGCTTTGGGCGGCCCAGGCGTGGGGAGGTTGTAGGGCTCCCCGAAGAACCCTCCTCCTCTGAGCTGCTGGGGGAGCAGCAGTCCACCTCCTGGAGCGAAGGTAGGGGAGGAAGGCTAGGGCCGGAAGCACTCCCTGGCACGCGATACCCCACCGAGCTCTCCCTCTGCAGCAGCTGTCGAGAAGGCAGTCTTTCTGTTTGGCTGGAAGATGTCCCTGGCAGCACCGGGACTGGGGGAGGCGGCACAGCAGGTGGGGACAGAGGGCTGGAGGTCTCTGTGGACACACGCACTTTGAAACTTCTCTTGAATTTCTCACGTTTGGTGGGGCCCAAATCTCCTGGGAAGAGGGGGTTGAAGAAGCAGAGGGCTGCACCGGTGCCCTGATCCAGCTCTTGAGGGGAGCGAGCCTTCAGCCTGGGTATCGGTGGGGCTTCGGAAGACCTCTGCTGAACCTTGGTGTTGAGGGAGGAACTCCAGAACTCTAGCAATCAGAAACCAATGGGGGCCTCAGAGCTGGCTCAAGAGGGTGCCCGGTTGCCCTTTTGCCCCCTCCCTTGGCCTCTATGTGTTCATCTGTACAATGGGCTGCAGGGAACCCTTACCCATGCCTAGATGGGAGATGGCCTCCAGCTCCTTGTGGGTGGCTGCCTGATGAATGGCTCTGGGGAGCCGGAGTGGGAGGAGAAGGATGTCCCTAAGGTCAGCAAAAGGAGTGGTCAAGAGAGCGTGGTGCTTGGGTGCGGGAGGCGGGCAGCACTAGAAAGCAGGCCCTGTGGTCACCAGGTGCTTGACAGGCAGACTCACTTGGTATGGCAGTATGCACAGATGAGCTGGACCAGGTCCTGGAACGTGAGCTCTGAACCCTCCAAAGAGACGCCTGAGAGACATCGGGAGTGAGGCTGTTCTCCGGGGACCTCCCTCCCCCGCCTGTCTCCAGCCCCTTCCCGCCAGGCCAGCCCCCTCACCGCCAGGGCTCTCTTGGATATAGTGGCTGGAGACAAAAGAGGGGCCACTGGCTTCTGGCAGCCGCACACACAGAACCTGGCACTGGCGAGTGTTAGATTTCCGTACCAGGAAGGTCTGCAAGTGAACAAGATTAGGAGGCTCAGTGCCTCCACGTTGAGGCGCTTTTTCTTCCCCTCTCCCCCGTTTGGCGGGCCAGTCCGGGCGGAAGGGGAAAGACTCACCCCTGGAGGTTCTGTCCGCAGCACGTGCAGCGCAGCTGCAGCGTTGGCCCGCAACTGTAACCACACAGGTCGGGTGATCAGCAGCCGCTCCCGCAGGCTCACAGTGCGTGCTGGTTGTTGGGACCTGCCTGCCTGTGCCCTGCTGGCGTCAGGCGTGTCATACAGTGGGTCTGGAGATGGCCTGGGGGCAGACACCCGGGCCTGAGCAGGGGTCTGGGGTGAACACCTCTTCCCGGTTCTGGGCTTCCCACCTATCCTGCCTTTGCCGGACCCTCTTGCCACTGCCCTTACCCTCTGCACCCGGCTGCCCTCCCAACTTCACTAACTTTTCTTTCTGTTGGTGCCTGGGAAGAAAGTTCAGGTTGGCAGCTCCCAGAGGGTGTGCTCCTGTCTCCCCAGGGTCTTCCATGGCTGGGAGCTCCTTCAGCTTCTCCTGGGACTCAGGAAGAGAATCCAACCCCCAAGGCACAGGCGTGCACATTCCTGGCGGTGAGTAACACTTCCTGAAGGCGGTTCGCCCTGTCACACCCCGCCAGTTAACTCTTGTATGTCCACTCCATGTGGCCAGTGTCCACCTCTTCTATTCCAGACTCAGCCTTGAATGGCAAGGACCCCCTCCATGTTCCTATCACTATTAGGGTCCCAGCTGTGGGAGGACCACCTCCATACAGTGCTTCCCATAAGCCTCCTCACACTGCAGCAGGGTAGGGAGTAGTTAAGCAAGGCAGACCAAGTTCCCATAGGCCCAAGACTCACCCCTGGATCACCTTAAGAAGTCTGTGGTCACTTGCTCATCTGTTCCAGCCTTCGAGAGGGTCGGCCTTGTGGGAGAGCACCCCCTACTGGTCGCAGATGACTCATTCCTGAACCTAACTTTGGTTTTGTGATTTCAGGTTGCTATGGAGAAAGGATGCTGTGTCTCCATAGAAACTAAACCCTTTGCTTAACTGAGGTTCTGGGGGTGGTTCTGACACTCACTGCTAACCAGGGGGAGTATGGCTGTGAGGTCGTCAGCACATGGTGCTGCTGCTAGCTGCCTCCCACACACAGGCTCTGCTAGCCTGCCTTGCCAATCTGCCAAGTGACTGGAGCAGGTACAGACATGACCCAGTCCCCAGGCACGTGCAACAGTCCCTCACCACTCAAAGCCACGTGCTCCACTTGTTTGCCTGTGCCAGTAGCTTCCAGTTCTGGGCCCAGATTCTAAGTCACAATATCCCAAACTCCAGGGACCCCAGAAGAACCTGTCTCAGGTGTTCCCCCATAAAAGCCTTGATTCCATTATAAGATAACAGCAGACACACATCAGTCACGTCAAGGTCCCAGGATAAGTTTTATTCCAGTCTTTGGAATCTGGGAGGCAGACACCAGGAATGGCCCTGAGAAAGTCTGGGAAGCTGTCATCTCCAGCGACAGCCAGGATGGGCAAGACCCCAACATAATGTTTCTGGCTCTAGAGTTCCTCCTGCAGCGGAGCCCAGTTCCTGGCTCGGTGGCTAGGGGGCAGGGCTGAAAGTCAGGAGAGTTGCTGCTTTGGAAGAAGCCCATCTTCTTGGTTGAGGGACACTGAGGAAGTTACTCTTTGGGAGGGGGAAATGGTGAGTTGGTCAGGGATAGAGACAACAGTCTTGCTTGGCCAGGTCAGCTTCAGGGCCACAGCTATGCCGATCCCATGGAGAGCAGAGGTCAGGGGACAGCAGCGACACTGGACAGCTACTAGGCAATCCCTGCCTTTGCAGAAAAGTGTTAGTCCTGTGTGAGGTACCAGCTGCTCCAAGGACCCTCTGAGTGTGAACACAGGGTCAGGGTCCTGGGGGCACAAGGAAAACGCACTGAAAGGACATTGAATCCGGAGGACAACCACCACTTCCTGAAGGCACCGAGGGAGACTTCCCTCACTACAGGGTTTCTTTCTCCTGCCCTTGCTGACCCACCCTGCCACGGGCTCCAGTCCACCTTGATCTTTCTGTGGTACTAAGCCTGGGACCAGGGTCTTAACCATGCTAGGCAAGCACTCTACCACTGGGCCCTACATACCACCTTTACATGTCCTTGTTCCATCAGCCAGAGCTTCCCCAGCTGGTTCCTACTTCCCAAACTCCTACAAAACCCTCAAAGTGAAATCAAACCACAGATTCTGAGGGGGCCGCCGCGCTGGTTCTTACCATCTGCTTTCCTCTTCTGAGGAGACACTGCTGCCCTGGCCTGGGTGGAGAGAAGAAAGGCCCTTTAGCGTCCACTTCAACCTGCCAACACTGCCCACCACAGCCCAGGGTCAAAGCCTCTGAGAAAAGTTGCATGAAGTATAAAAACTTTCTACACCAAGCTCCGAGACGTCTCTTCTCAGGAGCCAGTCGAGCAGCCTCCCCTCCTTCCAGCAAAGCCCCTGGAACAGGGGCTAACACGAACACATCCTTTCCTCAGGCCAGTCTTTAGGCAGGAGGACTACAAGCTACGACAAAGTTGGGGCACCAGGGCTAAGGCAGACATTGCTGAGGGGCAAGCAGAAAACTGCTCGGCTACCCTCAGATACCGGAGTTGACACCGTATGTATGTCAGAGTAAACAGGAAACAGGCAGCAGGGGACCAACCTTTTTGATGGCCGTCCAGTCTTCCAGGATGTCGATTTCCTGCAACATGTATACGATGTATGGGCCTGCACAGTGGTCAAGGATGACAACAAGAGACACGCAACAAAGCTCCACTAGAAGGCCACAGGTGGCAGTGCCACCCACCCACGGCTTAAGAGAGGTGGTACATGGATAGTGTGGAGGGGGTGCCAAGAGTTTTATTTATTTTAGACATGGTCTCTCTATGTAGCCGTGGCTAGCTTGGAACTCAGAGATACGCCTGCCTCTGCCTCCTGAGTACTGAGATTAAAGGTGTGTGCCACTAAACTCAGCCAGACCTTGGGTTTAATCCAAGTCCACCTCCTGCCTCAGGTGAGTGTGGGGACTGTGCTGGGCAAGAATCCTAACCCAGTTCTCTTTTTCCAGATCAGCTGACCAAGGCCCACCCCATCCTGAGGATCTCTGTTCCTCCTGTTTTGTCTGGTTCTGTCAGGAACTAGCTCACTGGACCCTTCCTTACCTAAAGGTGGATCCTGGCCCCTTCCTTCTGATAGCACTGTGCTCTGTATCTGAAATCTACCTTTACCCACAAGGGTTCAATAAAGCCTCCATCCCACAACTGTCCCAGGGCTGACACTGAACATGGAAGACCCCAGCTCAGTGCTGTGCAGCACGGGATGCTCAGTACAGAAGAGAGCACATGCACAGGGCTGGGGGAATGGACCAGGAAAGACTTCAGAAAGAGCATCTGACATGACACCACTGTGCCGACATGCAATAGCTCCAGAAGGGTTAAGCAAGGCCTCGACAGCATAGGGCTACCCTAGGACATGGAGGGAAAGACAGAAGGCTTTAGAGGTTGATCCTTACTCAGGGAATTACTAGGAGTCAGTGAGTGTTCTGTTTCTTTGGGGTCCACTGAGCTGAGGACCTAGGATGCGGAAGAAAATTCTGACAGCTGGACATTGCATGTAATACCAAATGACCATGAATGATTCTAGAGTGACTGTCCCACACCTCCCTGAGTCCAGGGCTGCCTTGTCCTGCCCAGTTTCAGGTGACCTTGAGTGGAAGGATACCAGAAACGAGAGGTGCCTTCTTCCTCTTGCTGGGTGGCAGTGAGTCCCAGGTCTTGGAGCCGCCTCTGGCGTTCAGTCTGTCATCCCACCACTCTGCCCAGAGAGTCGGGGTCAGGACAGTGACCCACAGCTAACTCCCACCATCCCTGTGGCTTTACCATGGACCAGCCAGGCCTCCCTTTTCCCCATCACCTCCAGGGCAGTGGTCCCAACCCTGGGCTTGAGGCTGGCAGCCTCTGGGGACCACTCGGTTTTTGACTGCACACTAGTGCAGGCCCGGGAATGGGACACTGCCCTTTGTGGGTATGCCTCAGTTTTTCCACTCAGTACACGGAATGAAGGGCATTCCTGGGCCCCATGTGAAACAGATGTCACCGTTATGGAGAGGACTGTGGTTTTTATATATGCATCCATGTGACAGTTGGATACCTCCCTTTATGAATGGAGGCAGGCAGGGGACCCACTCTGCCTGAGTCCCCACTATATGTGAAATACTGAGGTAAGCCCTTTCCTGAAGTCTCATTCAGTCCTCACAGGAAGTGGGCTGTTAGACTTCCTTTGTGCAGCCTGGGAAGCTGAGCTCCAAAGCGGGGGAAGGCACTGCAGCACTGGGCCCTGGCTCACCAGAGCTAATGTCCAGGCTCTGGCGGTCCTCCTCCAGCCTCTGGATCCGCTCCTGCAGCTCCCCAAGCAGTGTGTCATACAGCAGCAGTTTCTCACTCTGGGGGGGAGAGGCACTCAGCAGGGCACTTGCTGGACTCAGGCTCCCTCCCAGAGGCCCACGTGCTGCTCACCTCTAGGTGTTGTTTGGCTCCCTGGAGTTCACACTCATACTTATTCCTGATTACATCCAGACAGAAGCCCTTGTAGATTCCTACAAAGGGGAAGAGATCTGCTTGGCTTGGGGCCCTAATGTCCCCCAAAAGCAGATCCACAAGAATAGGGAAAGGCAGCGCAGGGACAAAAGTGGCGGGTGACAGAAAACTGTGGCTTTGGGAGGGCAGGACAGCTACAGACCTGCCACCTGAATGCGGATCTTTAGGCTCTGCTGCAGCCCTCCAAGAGGCTCTGTATATTCTGGGGCTCTCTCAGCCCCCACTTCCTCTAGTCTTAAGCGCAGCTGGCTCAGCCGTTCCCTGAATAACCTGAAGGTAAAAAGGCAGCTGTGCACACTGGCTTTTCCCGTGATCACCTGCCCTCTCAGGCACGTGCCTGCCAGACACCTGCTCCTGTTTTACAGCCCATCACCCAGGCACCTGCACCCCGCTGCCCAGAGGCCCGCCCCCAGACTCCCAAGCTCACTTCTCCTTCAGCTCTGAGAACTGCTTTTCCAGGTCCAGCATCTCACTGACACACTCGCTGCGGCGCCGCTCATAGCCCTCGTCGTCCATCTCTGAGGGAGAGGCCGGTTAGTGCTGCTTCTGTGGAGGGGCTGCTGCTCTTGTGTGCACATGTGTGTGTGACACACTGCAGGTGCTCACCTGAGCTCTCCTCCTCCGACTCCGTCTGACTGCCGCTCCGCTCCTCTTCACTCTCATCTGCCTCCCCATTCATCTCAGCTGCTGAGTCGCCTTCTGCCTCCATCTCTTCTGCTTCTTTGCCTGGAGGCTGGATGGGCATCTGGGCTCTGGGAGAGGGAGCACGGGCCATCACTCACCACTGCCCACTACCAGAGCGGTCAAACAGGGAGCCGACCAAACAGAAGCCTTGAGTGAAATAAGGGGAAGAGACTGCTGTACCACACTGGACATGCACCTGGTGGAATTTGCTCCACCTGTACCTGGAAATGTGGCCAAGGGATACGCCACAATGGGAAAAGTTTCCCATTGCTGATGGAACTGGACCCAAGCTTCTCACTGGGTCCTACAAGACCCTTCATGAACCGGACTTGAACTTTTTAAGTCCAGCTCCTTCACTTCATTGAATGGCCAGTTCTCACATCCTACCCCATTTTTTTTTTTTTGTTCATGTAATTGCTCTACCTACAATGTCTTCAGCTTTTCTTCCCAGTCCTGTCCCACAATTCTCTAGTCTTTCTCTACGTTCTAGATCAAATTCTGTCATCTGCTTTTTCAATGCTCAGCGTTTCTTTCTCCCTCCCATCTTCAGCTCCTTTCTGGCCCATATTGAAAGCTTAATCTGCAATGTAATGGTGTTTAGAGGAAAAGCAAAAAACCCAGGATAGCCAAAACAATCCTGTACAATAAAAGAACTTCTGGAAGCGTCACAATCCCTGACTCAAACTCTACTACAGAGCTACAGTACTGAAAACAGCCTGGTACTGGCATAAGAACAGACAGGAGGACCAATGGAACCAAATAGAAGACCCCGATATCAATCCACACATCCTCGAACACCTGATCTTTGATAAAGAAGCAAAAAATATCAAATGGAAAAAAGAAAGCATATTTAACAAGTGGTGCTGGCATAACTGGATATCAACATGTAGAAGAATGAAAATAGACCCGTATCACCATGCACAAAACTCAAGTCCAAATGGATCAAAGACCTCAACATAAAGCCAGACACACTGAACCTTATAGAAGAGAAAGTGGGAAATATACCTGAATGCATTGGCACAGGGAATCACTTCCTAAATATAACCCCAGCAGCACAGACATTGAGAGAAACAATTAATGAATGGGACCTCTTGAAACTGAAAAGCTTCTGTAAAGCAAAGGACATGGTCAACAAGACAAAACCACAGCCTACAGAATGGGAAAAGATCTTCACTAACCCCCACATCAGACAGAGGTCTGATCTCCAAAATATACAAAGAACTCAAGAAATTGGACACCAAAAGATCACATAATCTAATAAAAAAAAATGGAGTACAGACCTAAACAGAGAACTCTCAACAGAGGAATCTAAAATGACTGAAAGACACTTAAGGAAATGTTCGACATCCTTAGTCATCAAAGAAATGCAAATCAAAACAACTCTGAAATTCCATCTTACACCTGGAAGAACGGCCAAGATCAAAAACACTGATGACAACTTATGCTGAAGAGGTTGTGGGGAAAAGAGAATACTTCTGCATTGCTGGTGGGAATGCAAGCTGGTACAACCCCTTTGGATGTCAGTGTGGCGATTTCTCAGAAAATTAGAAAACAAGCTTCCTCGAGACCCAGTAATACCACTTTTTGGTATATATCCAAAGGATGCCCAATCGTGCCACAAGGACATGTGCTCAACCATGTTCATAGCAGCTTTGTTTGTCATAGCCAGAACCTGGAAACAACCTAAATACCCCTCAACCAAAGAATGAAAAGGAAAATGTGGTACATTTACACGATGGAATACTACACAGCAGAAAAAAATGACAGCTTGAATTTTGCAGGAAAATGGATGGAGCTAGAAAACATTTTTTTGAATGAGGTAACCCAGACACAGAAAGACAATTATCACATGTACTCACTCATAGGTGGTTTTTAAACACAAAGCAAAGAAAGTCAGCCTACAAACCACAATCCCAGAGAACTTAGACAACAATGAGGACACTAAGAGAGACTTACATAGATTTAATCTACATGGGAAGTAGAAAATATAAAAAGACAAGATCTCCTGAGTAAATTGGGAGCATGAGGACTTTGGGGGAGGATCAAAGGGGGGAGGGGGGAGGCAGGGAGGGGAACAGAGAAAAATGTAGAGCTCAATAAATATCAATTTAAAAAAAAGAAAATATAGTGTTTAGAGGGGCTGGAGAGATGGCTCAGCAGTTAAGAGCATTGCCTGCTCTTCCAAATGTCCTGAGTTCAATTCCCAGCAACCACATGGTGGTTCACAACCATCTATAAAGAGATCTGATGCCCTCTTCTGGCCTTCAGGCATATATACAGACAGGATATTGTATACATAATAAATAAATAAATATTAAAAAAATAGTGTTTAGAGATGAGGCCTTCAGGGTTTTCCTTGTTATTCATTTAATATTCATATACGCCATGGAGAGTGTGGAGGTCAGAGGGCAGCGCGTAGAAGTCAGCTCTCTCCTTCTGCCATCAACGCTGGACATTGGTGGCAGTTGCCTTTACCTGCTGCACCATTTGGTTAGCCCAAGGTGGGACCTTTGTAGGTCCACCCTCAACGTACTGATGCCTGATCAGCAGGAGATTCCTGGTAAGATTTGGGTTTCTCCTCCCTACCTTCTGAAATGAGCTGCTCCAGCAAATAGGCTCTTGCCAGACACAGGTTCCTCAGACATAGGACTCTGAGAAATTTTTATTTTATATGTAAGAGTGCTTTGAATTGTCTTTGTACCATGTGTGTGCAGTGCTTGTGAAGGAAGCATAGGATCCCTTAGAACTGGAGTTACAGACATGTAACTGAGCTGCCATGGCGGGGCTGGGAATAAAACCTGGGTCCACGGAAAGACCAGCCCGTGCCCTAATTGCTGAGCCATTACCTCTCCAGGGCACCAACACCATTTTAGAAAATTTCTCACACTGGGGATTAAATTGATTTTTTTTTCTCAAGACAGGGTTTCTCTGTGTAGCCCTGGCTGTCTCGGAGCTCACTCTGTATATACCAAGCTGGTCTAGAACTCCACCTCTTGAGTGCTGAGACTATAGGCGTGAACCACCATCATCCAGCTATAAACTGTTTTTTTCCCCACTTTGGCCCCCCCCCCTTTTCTTCCAGACAGGGTTTCTCTATGTAACAGTGCTGGTTATCCGAGAACTTGTCCTCCAATTCACAGAGATCCTGCCTCTGCTTCATGAGTGCTGGGATTAAAGGCACGCACAAAACTGTTGGCTTAAACTCAAGATTCTTAAGCATGCTGGGAAAGACAGCATTTTACTACTGAGCTATGTTCCCAGCATGTTCTGAGAATCAGTCTTATTAAGTTGCCCAGACCAGCAGCCTCTCAGCTGCCCAAACGGTTGGAGCTACAGGGTTACAGGCTTGTGCCACTACACCCAGTCAAATTTCTCTTCATTATACATGACCCCAGTCTCAGGTCAAAGACTGGGGGTTGTGACCTGGGTTCTTATAAGTGCCGAGCCCTAACTCTACCACTGAGCAATACCCCAGTGTTCCTTTCGGCCTTGGACAGAGAGCACCTTTCTAGGTGAAAGTTCAGATCGGCTCAGGCTTTTCCTACCACTAAGAAAAGCAGAGGGGGTGGTGGCGCACGCCTTTAGTCCAGTTTAGTCCAGGCATGCAGAAGGCAGAGGTGGATAGAGCTTTGGGTTCAAGGCCAGCCTGGTCTACAGATGATTTCCAGAACAGCCAAGACTATATAGAGAAACCCTGTCTCGGGGGGAGGAGGGAACGGGGGACATAGAAGCCAAAAAAAGTAGAAGTCTTGAGCAAGTTGCTAGCATGCATGGGTTTTAAGCTCAATTCTCCGAACTAGAAAGGAAAAAATAAAAAAGAGAGAGCCTGATGTGATAC